GATCTAGACCAGAAGAACTCGATACCACAGACACTTGACCCGGAAGACTTCGTTCGCCTTGGGGATCATGAGGAGCAGGAGGAGGAAGACCAGCTGCAGCACCGGGAACGTTTGTATTCCGCTTTTCCACTTCGGGTTGAGGACAAGTACGTCCATCATTAGCATCAGGAGAACAAGACGTCTCAGCACTCTCAGAAGGACAATTAGCGTCACTTCCCTCACCAGCAGAAGGACAAGAACCTTTAGTACCTGGAACTCCTGCCTCACCCTCTTCCCGTGCAGCTTGTCCAGTAGTAGCAGACACGTCAGTCACCACACCCGCACATGCAATGCTCAAGAGCAAAACAACAGAAAACAAGTTACGACACATCATCATCACCGCAACAAAATATTGCTTCTTGATTTGGAAAACTTAACAGCAAACTGAAGAAACAAGTAAGAACAAAAAACAAAACAAACAATTACAACACAGTCTAAAATACGAATAGAGCAAAACAAAACCAAGATGTCAAAACACATTAGAAAAAATAAAAAGAGGAATAAATAACAAAACACACATCCACGCAAAAGAAAAAAAACAGAACTTAAGAGCACAAAACACACAATCCAGCAAACGTTGCTTATCTTTGAGTTAATATGCAATGAATAAAATATTTGTCTGTTACTGTCTTATTTTTCCAATTACTCAACATCATCATTGCCGCAGGGCAACGCCCATAACGACCCAGCAAACAAAAAGCAAACAAACAGGTATTAACCATTGAGCCCAATTTACCCAGTAAACACAGAAATACACCAACTATGGGTATAAGTCTATATATATGTGTATATACGCAATTATAAATATAAATTCATCTGTTAGTATTATTATTTCTTTTTACCACTGCACAAAAAGCACTTCATCATCACTATCACAGTGCAAGCCCAGGTGCACACACAGAGAGAGTCTCTAAGAACACACACACAATACTCCATGGCTCTAGTTTATGTATATTAAATTACTGCACACACACATCTGTGTACTAGCAAGAGATGTATACTGTCAGTGAGCACAACAGCCCAGTTTTCTGCAAACACACTCAACGGGAAAAGCAAGTAATGGAATTATTAAAAAAAGAACACACACACACACAAAAGTGAAAAGAAAAGATATTCGAATTAAAAAGAGAAAGCTGGTAAACAGATTATTAATTTATTCACCCATGGGGTGGATGTCCGCAATTATGTTGATGTTAGTTTAACCATTATTATTATTATTTTGTCCTTAGATGAGTCCCACCGTTCAGTACATGGTAGTGGTGACCAACACAGCCATAATCAGTAGCGGTGCTGCAGTGCGCATCCACACAGGACTGACACTTCTGTCAACATTACCCTTGTTCTTCTGTACAGTGGAGGCAATAGTATTGATCTCTGCGTTGGGAACAGGAGATGGAGTGGTGGGTGGTGTATCAGTGATATTGCTCTCGGGACTCGGCGGAGTAGTGGAATTGGTTTCTTCTGAGCCTGAAATTGCAGTTGCACCTGCAGCTTCAGGAGATTGCTGGGTAAGATTAGAGTCGGCAGGTGTAGTGTTATCAGATGAGTTACTCGACGCTTCTTCAGTACTTTGTGTAGCTGCAGTAGACTCCGGAGGTTGGCCTTGTGTTGTAGTGGCACCATCTCTTGCTTCTGTTTCCTGTTTGCGTCTTTCATCTTCAGAGGCACTGGGAGGATTTATTCCTTTGCTGTCATCCATTCCATTTTGTGGTTTTTCTACCAAGACAGGATCTTTGGGTGGAGTTACACCTCCAGGAGGATTTGGTATCAATGATCCCGCTGCTTCTTCTCGATTACTTCCTTGTTGTTCCTTGGTTGTGTCTCTCTGACCTTGTTCCTGATTCTGTGAGGTTGATCCTCTATCATGATTCGCCACATTACTTGACTTCTCAGGGAATCCCCTTGCCGAACACTTTACGCCATCAACAATAGTATTAGGGTTATGCTTACACATATGCTTAATGCTTGCGTTTATAAGAAAATCATCCCATCCAAACATACCAGTAGTATTAAACTTCTTTGGCTGTTCCTCAATAATAACAGCAGGAAGAGTAACTACATCATTACTTGGTTCCATTGGTCCAGCAGCAGCAGCAGCCATGGTATACCCGCAGGCGCAGCACAGCACAACGGCCAACACACACATCACACGGCTCTTCATCATCATGAGAGAGAGAGAGACAATAGTTTGGTTTGCGTAAAAAACACTTATCTAGAAAGAAAGAGAATCAAAAAACAAAAAAAATAATAAATGAAGTATCAAACATGTTAGAACACACAAATCGATTACCACTATGGAAACTCACATTGTGAAAAGTAAAACCCACCAGTTAAAGAAGGCAATACAGAACAATAACCTCAGTTAGAGTACAAACAAAAAAAAGCCCACATTCACAAATATCTCAAAAAAAGGCTGAACCACCCAGCAAAATCATCAAGCAAAAAAAAAATTAACCATTAGCCCAATTTACCCAGTAAACACAGAAATACACACCAACTATGGGTGTAAGTCTATATGTGTGTATATACGCAATTATAAATATAAATTCATCTGTTAACATTATTTCTCCCCACTGCAAAAAAAAGCAATTCATTATCATCATCACAGTGCAAGCCCAGGTGCACATACACAGAGTCTCCAAGAACACACACACACAATGGAGTAGCAATAATAATAATTATAGGATAAACACACAGATAGCAAAAAAACACACAAAACACATTAACATTAAGAAACAAAAAAAAAAATAAAATCCTAACAGGTGGAAGATTAGTTAGACTGTAGTGTGGATGCACGCAAAAAAGAAAAAAAGAAAACGAAGGATGACCTGAGTCACACCACACCACCACCATTACAATCAGCACACAAGAATACAGGCCAGTGTAACCACAATCAGTAGTGGCACACGCACCCACACAGAACTGCTGATACTGCTG